CAACCCCAAAACAGGTGATTGCTACAGATTAAATAGATATTAAAGGAACAGCTAGAGCAGGGGTGTCCAAACTTGCTTAACGTACGAGCCGCATAGAATAAACGTCAGATGTTTGAGAGCCGCAAGACATGAACAAATATGACACACAAAACAGGCAAGTTTGCTTTTTATTAACATTAAATGAGACTGCCAAAAATAAAAACGATTGGGGTAAAAATAGATATTGGTGATGATATTTATTTGTTCCAATGGTATTTGTAGGCTGGGGGGGGGGGCTTTGAGAATGCGTGTAAAGTTAAAGCTGCTTTCTTTCTCTGCTCCCCTCTGCCTCAAACCTACCCAGAGAGGGGAACACTGGCTGGGGAAGGGAAGATCGATCAGCAGGGGTTATTTCGTAGAAAAAGAGGTGCAGGAGCTCATTAGCATAACTTATTGGCATAACTCATTTGCATATGCCACACCCCCTGACATCACCCCCTCCCCTCTCCTGGATCCACCCCCAAAGTCTCCAGGTATTTTCCAACCCAGAGCTGGCTATGCTAGTGTGACGATCTCCTATTGGGGAGGACCAGGTTTCTCTTTAAATTATTCTGGGTGTTTATAAAATAGGTAGTTCCGGCTGCCACCAGGAATTTTCTAAATTCCAAATCCACTCTCAGCTTCTTATGTTGGTATTGTGACCCAGGGTCTAGGCTTTCAAGGGACTCTGTGGTCCTGAGGAATAATTGATATGACTTCTGGGATTAAGAAAGAGAAGAGATTGGATTTATACCCCGCCCTTCACTACCCAAAGGTGTCTCAGAGCGGCTTACAAACTCCTTTCCCTTCCCCTCCCTACAACAGACACCCTTTGAGGTGGGTGGGGCTGAGAGAGCTCTTGACAGAAACTGCCCTTTTTCAAGGACAGCTGTGCCAGAGCTTGCAACTAACCCAAGGTCACATCAGCAGGTGCAAGTGGAGGAGTGGGGAATCAAACCCGGTTCTCCCAGATTAGAGTCTGCACACTTAACCACTACACCAAACAGCACACTTGTCTCTCTCAATCACCCTACTCTGCATTCACTGCACCGCAACCAAACATTTAATGAGACACACACACTCTTAAAACAAGGAATCATTACAGATAGTTTCTGAGGACTCCTGAAAATCACCAGGCTGTATTTTCAAGTCAGACATCCATCCAGGTTATTTGGCATTTTAAGTGAGGAAAAAGATTCCACAAAAAAAGGAATCCTGACCAACGTGGCATTCTCTGAACTTGAGCTATGCTACTTTCTTTGCTTCCACTAGTCCTTGATTTGCATCTTGGACTTGGGGGAAACCACCAAAGGATTGTTGCAATTCCACATGTACTTTCCAGGTATTAGCATACTTACAAAACCTGAAAAATATTCTTTAGGGCCTGTGTGCATCTGGCTAATACCGAGCCAAAAAAAAAATCTGAAAAAATACCTTATCAGTATTTGGGGGGCATTTTAAAATCCAGATATAGAGTGGATTTCAGCTATCTGAAATGGCCAAGCCTGAAAAATCCCAAAAATATTCAGGATTTTTCAGGACCACCAGACAATCAAAATTAATAGGCATTTAAAGGGATTGGAGTCCCTTTAAATGCCTTCCGAGTAAACTCACCACCTGGAGAAGGTGTTTAAAGGGACAGTGAGTTCTTTAAAGACCTTCATATTGGACTGTGGCTTATACAAGGCATTTAGAGGACCACAATTCCTTTAAATTCCTTTCCCCCCTTCTATTGAAAGCAATAGAGGAGGGGGCATTCTTTGGGGGCCCATAGTTAATTGGACCCCCTAGTCCAATCTTTTTGAAACTTGGGGTGGGTTTTTTTTTTTTTTTTGTTTTTTAGGAGAGGCAGCAGCAAGCTACGCTGCAAATTTGGTGCCTCTACCTAAAAAAACACCCACTCAAGTTCCAAAAAGATTTGACCAGGGGAAAGTGGGACATAAATATTTGAATATATAAGTAGTCTGGGCAGGTGCTAACATTTAAGCAACTTCCTGTTTGTTAGGTGAGGCAGGGTTCTGACAGCGATTATTCCTCCTCTGTTATACTTGACCTGTAATGCCAGTTGTCATATTTCACTAAAAATAACCCAAAGTAGACTGCAAGAGTCTCCCACCCCCAAGCACTGGTATGTTTTCCAAGGGTCAGCGCAGGACAAGGGTCCAAGGCCAGGTCTACTACCAATACAGTGGACTGAGGCAGGTAGACCCGTACTCTGGAGGCCAGGTCTACCACCAATATAGTGGAAAGGGGCAGGTAGACCCTGGAGGCCTGGTCTACCCCGCAGAGGACAAAAAAAAAAACTCGATGGTACCATCGAGTTTTCAGCCCCATTGCCAGAGCGTCACCCAGCGTCACTTCCTGGCAATGGCATGCTGTGTTACAGGGAGGAATGGTCTGGCCGGGGAGCATGTTTCCCCTGCCGGATCATGGTAAGTACTTGGGAACCCTAGCATGGTACAATGCCAGAGAGTCCACCCTTCAAAGCAGCCATTTTCTCCTCCAGGGGAGCTGATCTCTGTCAACAGGATCAGTTGTAAAAGCGGGAGGACTCCAGGCCCCACCTGGAGGCTGGCAAACCCTAGCCGGGATGAAAGGTGCAAACTCTGTTTTCTGTACCATTGTAGATGAAGTCCTTCCGTGTAAACGGGCACAAGAGTTCAAATGCAGACAGAAACGGCCCTTTGTATTCCAGACTCTGAAGGACAACCTTTGTCTGTTAGTGTTGCCAACTCTGGATTGGGAAATGCCTGTAGATTTGGGGGCTGGAGCCTGGAAGAGGGAAAGTGTGGGGATGGGAGGGACCTCAGCAGGCCATATAGTGAGTCAAATAGACAGAACTTGTGACTGACCCAAGGTCATCCAGCAGCTGCAAGTGGGGAATCAAACCCGGTTCTCCCAGATTAGAGTCTGCGCACCTAACCACTACACCAA